AAAAAAAAAAAAAAAAAAAAAAAAAAAAAAAAAAAAAAAAAATGAAAAAAAAAAACCTAAACTATACCACAAAAAGAGAAATCACTTCCAATAAACACCTACAACTTAAGCAAAGCTGTCAAGTCAATTCAGTAAACGCTTTCAGCATTGTTGGCTTATAATAATAATTTCCTCTGCTTCTGAAATTGTTCTCTGCAAAGCCATTTAGATAAGTTAAATATGTAATTGAGGATATATGTAGAAGGCTTTTGCAATGTCATACAATACGATCCTTTTGCTAAGAAACTACAGATATAGAATAGCCTGAGACTTAAATTCATATATTCGTTGGATCTAGCCTAGAGGCATACTTTATCAATTGAGGATTGCCAAGGCCATCATTAATCTCATTATCTTATCTTGTGATTCCAATGAACTCCCTGCTCTATATTTGGCTTGTATAACTAACACTTCATAATTGAGTATAAACTTATCTTACCTAAGCTTCGTAAAATAGTTCTGATTGTCAATTTAAAATGTTGTTCGATGTGTTACGTTCTGATCGATATTTCCTGGATGATTTGCAGCTGGTTATTTCTATCCAGAAAATTATATTAACATCTATAATAAAATGCATCAAGGAATTTTTAAATATAGAATAAATATTTGTGAGCAAATTATGTTAAATAGTGAACATCGTAACCTCGTTAAAAAGTTTAGATTGAGTTGAAACTTAACATGATTCAAATAGAGTTACTTAGAATTTTCCATATAAAAAATTGCTTATTCCTTATATCAGGATTTCCATAAATATAATTAAACAATATCGTTCTATTTAATAATATATAATTTTATTTTGGATTTACACCGTTTATAAATAGTTATGTCAACTTTAAAGGTATGTATTTAATAATTAATAACAATAATGAAACGCGCACAGCCGCAAAAATATTCGGTTGATCAAAACATAATAAACATTCCGAAGCCAACGGAAAAGAAATTTAAGGGGGAAAACATTATAATCGAATTAAATCAGCTGAGAAATGAATAATGCTCTTTGTGAAGCTTTGAAATAATTGACGATGGGTTTATTTTATTTTTATTTTTTTAAAATATGAAATGCAAAACAGAATTAAATATAAAAAACATTCACAATATAGTTCGATTAATTTATTTGTTTGATCTTAGTGCCTATATATTTTATAAAAGTTGTTCAATTAGTGGGTTTGATTTCGAGTTGAATTATATTCTGGTAGAATTAGCTATGGACTTACATTCAATAACTGATATTTTTATTTATTTTTATTTATCAACTTCATTTGCTCAATACAGATATTTATTTATGGTATTAATACTTGACACATAGGATGAATAGTTTACAATCCGACTAGTCTACCATATATAGATGCTACAAATTTCTTATACATGTAATACGATCAACTTATGGATCAATAAATATTTCGCGTACCGTTTCCGCATTGTTAAAGTTATTATTATTTTTTGTTTATACCCTTGTAGATATTTTTTTGTTTTGGATTCTGATTTACAGATACTTCTATTTGATAATTATAATTTGTATATTTCTTATCTAATTTTATATTTCAGTTTTATAAGTGTTCAAATAGAAAAGTTACTTCAACATCGGATTAATATATCCTACAGCTTTCTAGAAATGAATAAAAAGGGTCTTATTTCTATATGGGAAACTATTAGCAAAAGCTCTTGATTTTTTTCTACAAGGGTATACAATTTCGCACTTGTCAAAATTATGAGTTTCTTCTGAATTTTGTCCTTTGTTTAATTTTTTTTGTTTCTTTTATTTTTTTTTTATTATAAAATTAATAACGATTGTCTTTAGAAAACTAAATTCACGTATAGTTATAATACTTATTTGATATTTGTTTTTGTCGTCAAAAAGATTCTTAAATAGCTAAACAGTATTAACGATATTTACATAGTAGAATATGTATTTATATATGAAAGGAACTTCATTTCGAATTGAAAACACATGTATGATGGATGCAAGAATCAGCCCAACAATTTAGCTCAGATATACATAGTATTTAGATTACGATCTTTAAGGTGTGGTCAGTTCTGAAGTTGCATGCAGTTAATTGTAATTTTGATTAGGTTTTTATAAAATCGATTAACACTTAATCATGGGCATCATCCCATTGCTCTTAACATACTAAGCACATACAAATGGGGAATAGCAGGTCTCACTACGTTGTAATAATATTCTTTGTTTTCTAATCATTTTTATTCAAATTCAATTCAATTTGAAATTCAAGTATCAATTTGGGTAAAATCCTAGTTAAGGCTACCTTTTACTTTTAGTCCACTGTGCGAACCATTCGAAAATAAAGCTAGACGGGAGTATCTCGTTAATTGGCTAAGATTGACGCTGACTAGTGTGAAAAGCCGGCTCGAATAGATTCATTCGATCGATGGACATTACTAATCATCAACTAAGTTGTACTTTCATTTCGCAGCTGGAACCAAGTTTGCATGCTTTGAGGTACTTCACTTTGCACATCACAACGCTAGAAATTCTCGGATATTCTCTTACTCGATGACGACCTCAGATATAAAGCTTTTTAAGTTACTCCGGCTCATTTGCCTAAATCGTGTCCTATCTGCTGAGCAGCTGCTCCACGTTCAGGACTATCTCGGGGCTGGGCATGTTGTTCTCCTGGGCCGGATGGGGGCTGTCGGCGCTCTCGCTTCTGAGACTGCTGCTGTTGTTGTTGTTATTCTTTTTCGATCGTCTATGCGCATCGAGTCCGTTGAGAGTGCGCGACGGCGCCGGCGAGGTCGGCGCTGAGGACAACGGCGGACTGAGCGGAGCACCAGAGGCGGGCATAGCTTTCGCCGAGGGTGGTTGAGCCTCCAGCGTAGAGGGTGGACTACGATTCAGATTGCTATCTAGGCTGCTGTGATGCTGCGAGGAGGCCGGCGAGAGCGGTATCTCCTCGATCTTCTCCAAGTCCTGTGCTATGGATGATGAGTTTTGTTTGTGCGCTCGCGTCAAAGTGCCTTTGGGACTGCGTGATGTGTCGTGCAGCATCGGTATATCGAGCATGGAGTTCTTGCTGGCATTCATCAGGGCCGCATAATTGTTTGCCTGCAGGGAGTGCTGGTGCTGCTGCTCCACTTTGGACTGCTGATCGTCTCGGTCCAGACTGAACTGACGACGCAGCAGGCGGCTGGAGCCGGGCTTACTGTCAAACTTGGAGGTGCTGCCGCTTACGGAACAGCCCCCACTGCCAGGTCCATTGTTTCCCGCCGCACTGCCGCCACCTGAATTCCCATACATATATTTGCCATCATAGAACTGGGTCAGGTTGCTCTCGCTGGGACTGAGACACTTGTAATGATTATACGGCGAGCTGAGATCCATCATTTCCTCAATCTTCTTGTATAACCTGGAGCTGGAGCCGCCCGTAGAGCTGGGCAAGCGATTAAAGCTATTGGGATTCAGCAGACTATCCGGCGTGAGCTCGGAGAGCTTGCGTGACTGTGGACTTGTACTGCTGGGCGTCTTATTGGGAAACTCCGGACATAGCGTCGTATTGGGGCTAATGGTGTTCGTAGAGGTCGAGTCGAGCGAATAGGAATTGGGCAACACACTAGAACTCAAGTCCGTGTTGGCGGGTGGCGTTATCTCCACCTTCACCTCGACTGTTTCGCCAGCCAGCGAAGAGCTCTGGGACGATGAAGGATTCGTGCTGGTTCTCGACTTGTTCGCCTGCGCCTTTAGCGTAATCGAGTTGCGTATTAGTGATTCGTCCAATCTGTGATCGAAATATATGATTTATGTTATCTAAAATGAGCAGAGTAAATAAAATAATAAATAAAGTTCACCTACCCATGCGACTCCCTGAGGTTAGGCAATTTATTTAAATAAATTATTATAAGAATATAAAATGTTGTAAGATTTTATAGTTTATTTTTTACAAAGAAATAATGTTTTCATTGTTGAGAATCTTTTTATGTACCTATGGACGACTTACCCAATGGGTGGTGGCACCGGCAATGGCTTATCAAAACCTTTCTTGCCCAGCAGCCAAAATGTGTTCATCATGCCTTTGCCCTTGATATCAATTAGGCCGCGAGGCTCTATCGAGTATCCGCCGCGTGCCTCCAAGCGATCGCGAGTCTCTTGCGACATGTGGATGCGCCAAGAGGAGCCTGTGTCACGTGGATAGAAAAATAATACAACTTATCTAGTAAAACTGTAAATTCTCTGCATATTACCTGTTGATTCCATTCGGGAGGCTGTATTCACCGTGTCGCCAAATAGGCAATAGCGCGGCATTGTTAGACCCACAACGCCCGCACAGCAGGGACCCGTGTGCAGGCCGATGCGAAGCTGGAGCGGCACGCCCGGCAGATGCTTCACATTGAAGCGTCCGCTCTGGTGGAGCAGATCCAGTGCCATGGTGGCTATCTGCTCCGCATGATCGGGTATCTTCACAGGCAGCCCACTGACGACCATATAAGCATCTCCAATGGTCTCCACCTGAGAGAGAGAACGAGAGAGAGAGAGAGAGAGTGGGAGAGTGATATTGCAAGCAGGTTTCCAAATCAGCTTCTCTATAAGACTCACCTTGTATACATTGTAAGCATTGATGGTGGCATCGAATATGGTGTAGAGATCATTGAGCAGGTCCACCACCTGCACTGGACTGCAGTGAGCAGCGATCGTTGTGAAGCCAACAATGTCGCTGAAATAAATTGTGACATCCGAGAACTCCTCCGGATCAACGGCCAAGCCCATTTTAAGCTTCTCAGCAACAGAGCTGCAAAGAAGAAGAAAATACTGTAAATTCTGGACTCGATTCTTGGCTCAGTATTAATTACCTTGGCAACATCCGATTAAGCAGCTGCTCAGTCTTCTTTCTTTCTATATCCAGCTGATCGGTCCGCTCTCGTATCAGTTCCTCCAGATTGTTCGAGTATTTCTCCAGCATTTGAAACATTGTGTCCACAAAGTTGACTTTGCGTCCGTGGTTGAGCATTTTGAAGCGCTCGTAAACGCTGCAGATGGAAAAAAAACCCATCAGATTAAATAATGCAACATCTAAAGCATTTTTCATTCCTAAACTGACTTAGAATATATTGCAGACTTTTTCCAGCAAGTTCAAAGTATCTTTAAAACAATTAGAGATCTTATCCAAGCTCATATATCTAAAATATTAGATCGAGTCTCAACAGATGCCTCTAGGGCAAAATACTTACGAGTTAAAATCGGGTCTCATGTCTGGTTGTTCGGCCCAGCACTGTCGCATTATGTTGATGGCCTCCGGTGGTGCGGCTCCCTTGGAGACCGAGGGTCTGATTAGGGGCGGTGGCTTTTTCAGCTTGGCTATAATCTCATCTGGTGAGAGTGAGAGCATGCAATAGGGCTCACCCCGCACCACCACCTCCTGCATGATGATGCCGAAGGAGTAGACATCGCCCATCTGTGTGCCCATCTGCACGCGTCCATGCTGATGATGATGATGATGATGATGGTGTTGCTGCTGTGGCTGTGTTTTCATAGTGCGCAGCAGCTCTGGCGCCGTCCACAGCAGCTCCTTGTTGCTGCGTGGCACTTGGGCCAGGCCCTGCATTTCGTAGAAGGAATTCAGGCCATAGTCGGTAATCTTGAGAACCCATCGGGCGTCCACCACACAGTTTCGGGAGGTCAGCGCGCCATGGATGCGCAGCGGAGAGGCGTGGAGGTAGCGCATACCGCGCACCAGATCAGTCAACAGACTTAGGCGGAACGACCAGTCCAGCTTAATCTCATCCATGATGAGCACATCCTGCAGCGAGCCGCGTGAGCAATAGTCGAAGACCATAGCCGTGCGACTCGGATCCGACAGCCAGCCAATTAGTGGATTTATATTCTCGTGTCGCAGCCCATGCGCCATCACTAGCAGATCCATGGCCTTGGATCGCAGCTCGGCCGAGCCATTCAAGGGTATCTCCTTGAGCTGCACCAGATCGCCATTGTAGCGAGCACGCATGTCCAGATGGGCTGGCTTATGGCGAGCCAGGCTGCCCGAAGCCGAAGTGCCACTCTTGCCGTTAGCCGTTCCACCTGTGGCGGTGCCACCAGCTCCAGCTATGGCACCACTGTTGCCCCCCGCCGTCGTCCCGGGAATCACAAAGCCCAGATTCTTAAGCGACCCAATCGAACCCTTCAGCAAATCTGGCTTATCCACCTCGGGGCCGCCAAATTCCTGCAGCTGCTGTAGCCAGCAGCAGAGCATGGCCTCAATGCCCTCGTCCACCTGCAAACGCTTGAATTATGTATGTGCTTCAAATACATAAATAGAAACGTGCCCTTACCCGACGCGAGTCCACGGGAAACACAAAGTCACTGGCCGAGAGCACAATCTTGTTGGGTCCCTTCGACAGTCTCTTGCGTAGAAAATAGTTTCTGGATAGTGGAATTCGTTATGAAAAATAATAAACAATGAATAATAAATATATGGATGATTAGATATGCAAGAATATGCATTTACATACATATATACTTATACAGTTAACTGTGCAATTCAGCTGTATTTGCTTTTTCTGTTCTCATTTCTCGTTTTCAATTTACTTTCCACATTTCTCAATCAAATTAGTAAGCTTTCCTCATCATTTACTTATACTTTTCCCCATCACCGCAAAATGACCTGCAGCATTTTTATTGCAACTGCAACAAAAGCTGGCAACTACTTCAAACTGAGCTCAATTAATCGTAGCATGAAATCAAGCAAATTCATTGTTGGATGGTGGCGCTGGCCCTATTTGCATACCCTGCATAGTTGGCAATAAAGGGTGTAATAATTATTTTACGCTAGTTATGCAGAGAGAATACTTATAGTTATGCTAGAGTGCAGACAGACAGAAGAGATTGAAAATATGCAAAATATAGTATATATTTCTCTAAGGCATTTCATTATTATTATTAGCTCTATTATTCACAATTGACATTCAAATTCTCAATTTAGTATTTTGATTTCACTATAAAAAATAATCAAGGAATTGAGTATAAGAGAATTTTTAAAGATGTAAATGCCTGTAATCCTTGTCTTTAGTTAAGTTTAGGGTATAGGGATGTAGCACTGCTTAGCTGAGTGTTACGCTCTTACTTGCACTTTTTTGTTTGTTAGTGTTATCCGCACTGAAATGTGTATTTATTAGCTTAGTCAGGCGTTGGCCCTTGGCCGTTGGCCGTTGACTGTTGGCTGTTGGGTCTTACGGTTACCTACAGCAGTTAGTTGACAATACAATGGAACACCCGCCTGGCTAGCTGGAGGGCAGACAGTTCACGCCCACTGTTGCAAAATTGCAAATTCATGGAACAATTGCTAAGCCAGAAGTTGGCCAAGTTGTGTAAGGTTAAGTGTATTATGCGCATTAAGAGGCATTAACTGTACCTAGTCGAAAGTCTTTGGGCACACGTGTAACGGCTGTTAAGTAGCCAACCCCAAAGCCATTAAAGTTTTTCTATTTACGGCACAGCTTACGGCTTAACCACAGAAAACTTTTACCTCTGCGTTAACCACGCTGATAATCAACCGGATCGTTCAGCATAAAAACTGTTTGCGCGTGTGCATCATTTTCTATACCCTATTCACTGATGGCATAGGCAATTCACATTCGCAGAGCTTGTTTGGGCGTTGCAGAGAAATTGAAAGGGTAAACGCTTTAAATTTATTGAGTTGCTAAACAGATTTAAGCTCAATATTGCAAAAGATCTTTAAATAGTTATTGCAGAAAAAAACAGAAAACTATAGAATAAATTTACGTATAATTACATATACGAAAAAAATAAATAAAATAATAATAATTACTTCGAGTTACTTGTTTTTAGTCTTGATAAGAATTAGTTTTTGTTAATGTTCTGGTTCTACAGTATTGCTTATAATAATCAACATAAATATAAATAAAAAATAAAAAATAATAATAATACTTATAATAATCATGATAAATGTCAATGCTCTGAGTCTACATTATTGTTCATAATAATCAACATAAATAAAATTAAAAAAAAAATAATAATACCTATAATAATCATGATAAATATCAATATCAATATTATAAGCATCTAGAGAAATGTTTCATTTTTGGCTTTGCTGTCCATAAAGTCTTTTTACTGCGTTTTCAACTCTACTCCCATTCCCTCTGCAGGGCATCTTCTAGTCGCTCGCATTCAACTGCCTGTTTTTGTATGTCCTGGTCGTTTTCTGTTTGCTGTCAGGCCTGTTTTGCTAGGCAGACGCTAATTAAAACTTCATGAGTTGCATTTCAAGTAGCGGCAACAAAAAATAAATTTGGTTTGATTGTTGTGTTGTGGCTTTAATTTCGGACATGTAACATAACTATTGCAGCTTTAAAGGCAGCCCATCTATAAAATCAAATTGTTACTGGTATAATTGCCGCTCTCGTGGGAAGTGTTGCTGATAAGTCACAGAATAAATGATTTGTCAAACCGCACTTGACATATTCCTGCCTGAATTTTTTATATAAATCAATTTATTTCTGTGTTTGTGTCAAGTTTAGTGTGCAACGCTTTGATGAATGTAATGTAATGAATGTAATTAATTTAATGCTTCTCCTAATGGACGAGGCGAGTGTTTAAGTTTGTATATTTAGCTGTATTTATACATATACATATATCTTTGCCTGTGTGTGGCTTAGAAGTAATTTATTTGTGGCTTGTGAATTGATTTTCCGTAAATTTATTTTTGGCCAAAACAATGTTGATGCTATTTTGGCTTATTCAAGCACGCAGTTATTTGAATTCCTTAAATTCTTGAAATTTCTGCATGTGCTAAGTAATTAATATATTAAATTGGTAAATGGGAGACAATTTAGTAAATTAATTCAAGTGCCGGAAATGACCATTGATATTCAGAACAAGAAATCAGTTTCTATGGGCCTTAATTGAAATGAAAGGCGAAACAAATTCATAATAAATTTATTCACTTGGCGCCTGCCTAAAATACGAGTTTGTTCAGTGAGTGCGCCGCACTTAATAAAATTAAAAGCTATCTAATTATACGCTATGCAAAAACAAAACTAACATTTTACAAAAACCGAGAACTTCAATGCAATGGCATCAGGCAATTAACGACTTCAAACGGAGAGGGGGCAGCGGCGCGGGCAACGGCAAAGAATCCTAATGATGCAAATTAAAATGGAAATTGCCACGCGCCAAATATTTTACGCCCAACCCCAATGGCGTGGGCGAAGCTTTCGAATCTAAAACGGACCTCTTAGGTGCCCTAATTGATTATGCCAATCTTTTGTTGTTCTCACAGAAGCTCAGAAAATGAAATAAAATATTATTTAAAGAAAATGCAAACAGTTGAAGCCACATAATGTTGTTCATTCCTTCCTTCTTATTATTCAAGTCTTATTTAAGACTTCAATTTAAATATTAAAAGGTGAGCATATCTTTAATTTTTATTTTATATGTTTTTTGCAAATGCCATAGGCAACAAGGGCTTTTGTGCTCATTTATCTCCCATATATGCATAAAAGCATTACGAATTTAATTAAAGCATAAATGCGAATTATCTGCTCATAAGCTGATTAAAAAGGAAGCAAAATTTACAGAGCTCACATCAAAGTTGATGGTTTCAAGAGATTAATTCACATTAATCTAATGCTTAAATTTAATTCAATTTGAATAATTAAGGCCTCACATAAGTTGTATAATAATAATAATGAGGCTGACTTAACATCAAGCCCTTTGTTGTTTTTAAGCATATTTAATAAAGCGAATTAAATTCACAGCAACTTTATTTATCAACCAATAATCAGAATTTCCTTTTAAACGGATTTGATGTGCTACATCGGTCTATCTGATATATCAGCGAACAATTATGATTTTTTAAATTGAATTTGCATGCATTATAATTTAGGGATATTCATTTCAACGAGATTTCAGTTCACCAATATAACCTTCAAAGAGATATTCTTTAATTCCTCTCAGCAAAACCTTGAAGCAAATGCAAGTTTCAGCTTAGTTTGTGTTTTAGCATTTGAGAACGTAGCCTGAGGTGCTTCAGCGCTTGTGAATCAAACAGAAAAAAGCACTCGACTTAGCTTTATTCCTCGCCTAAGGCAACATTTGATGTGTTGGTGTTAGTCGAAGGCGTTTGAGATTTACTTACCTCACGGCAATGCCGGCAGCGACGCTGGCCGCCACAATGATGATTAGCAGGCCGATACATATTGCAGCAATTGTCCAGCAGATGGCGCCACAGTGCCAAATCTGAGCGTTGCTGACCAGGAGCCATTCATCGTAGCCCGGTTGAATGGAGTGCGTTATATAGCTGCCCGATTGTCCCAGAGCCTTGTCACCCTCGAGGATGAGCAGAGGACGCCATTTGTACGAGGCAAGTGCAGCATCCACAACAATGTCCAGAACCAGAAAATCGTATTTGGGTTTGCCAGCCGTCGCATTGCCAGTGGTAATGTGGGACAGCAGCAGATCGTAGAGCGAGAACAGATTCATAAAGGGACGCAGCCTGTTGAGACTGGCATTTTGATGAGCCAGCGCCTCCATCGTCGCCTCCGCATCACTCAACAAAAGCTCGGACGCTGGAGTACGAAAATTATGCACCATCGCCATGCCAATACCGGCCGCATTCAAATAGTGACGATGCTTATCGCTTAGCAGAGTCAGCACCAACAGATTGCTGGTCACCAGCCCAGACACAGGCAGCTTTGGCATGTTGCTACTATTCCCATTGTCGATTCCACTGGAACTGACACTGTCATTGCCATTGCTGTTGCCATTGCTGTTGCCATTGCTGTTGCTGTTGCTGTTGGCATTGCTATTGCTGTTGCTGCTGTTATGGCCATTACCATTACCATTGCGAGTGGCCGCATTGATGCGTGCCAGATATTTGTAGAGTCGATGCTCGACATTCAATGAGCTGGCAACCATATCGATGAGCAATACTCTTGTCTGTTGGCCTCGGTCAGTCCACTTGCCCCTGCGTAGCCAGCGCAGCGTGCTATCATCGTTCAGAGGGGCCGTAATAATAATTGCTAAGCTCACGCATTAAATGTGTGGTCAAAGAGGAAGCATGGATGCAGGGAGCAAAACGAGAAGGAGACGGAGATGGAGTAAGTGTAAATGCAGATTTTCGTTGTCGATCTGTTCAACTAGCCATTTTAATTGGCATCGGCTTTGGCATCGGCATCGTCATCGGCTGCTGCTGCTGCCTACGCAATATACATACCTTGGCCAGGCTTATCCTGTTCATGCAGGTCACGTACTGTGTCGCCAATTTCAATGCGATAAGGTATATGTAAGTTGGCCGCAATGGCCAATGGTAGGCCCCAATTGTCATCTGCAAGTAGACAGATAAAAAGAGAGAGAGAGAACCATGAGATAACGTCAAAGAGGGCGTAAGATAGGGGCTGGAAGGAGGGGCCGCAAGGTAACTCAACAGCTGTGACAGTCGTTGTGGTTGCCTCACCATCTCTCGCTGGGAACAAAATTGTGTTTTGCTGCACGTTGCAGCCAATTTCGATGTTGCTGGCAGTTGGAATCAACTGGCGAAACATGTTCACACGCTTCGTGCTATATTAGGTGTTGGCAATATCAAGTCGAAGCTGCTAAGTGAGCATTAAGCAACGTTTTTTAGAGACGGTGCAATATATAAATATTGTATAGTAGTATCATATTTTATGCCAATATTAAATTTAATTTACTACATTTTATTTCTAAGCACTGATAAGTGTAATAATAATTTAGGCAGCTATATTACAAATAAATGCTGAAACAAGTTCAATATTTTGTGAATTGTGAATCCAATTTTATATATTCTTGAAGTGTTTTATATATATTATTATTATATTTTTATACTTATTATTATATTATTTAATTATATTATTATTATTATTTGACTATAAGTGTTAAATGCATTAATACAAGGTCGAATTTATTAGAGTCATTAAATTAAAGAGTTGGTAAATTGTAGTTAATCTAATTCTAGCAACTTCAGTTCGATATTTATTTTACAAAATTATGAATTTTAAGCTCTACTTACGAAACTAAATTATTTTTGTATTTACTTAGAAGTTTGAGATAATATAAATAAATAATTAAATTTTGGGCTTAAATAAACTATAATTACATACTAGTTTCAGTTTCCTTGTAAGGCTGCCAGACTATACATGTTTTCCAGATTGTTAGCCAAATTCACGATTGGGATTAAGAAAACGCCACTCTTGACTAGATTTTAGCATAGTGAGATTAGAGAACACTAATGAAGTTTACCCATACTAACTAACCTAGGGATATTAGAATACCTAGACGTTGCGCCCAGTACGATTTTTTTCAGGAATTTATGAACATAATTAGTAAATCTTCAATTGCTCATAAGTGTTGCTACTCATGGCTATCATTCAGTGCTTGATTACCTAGGAAGTGGGAAGCTTTCATTAAAATTGTGAGGCAACAATTGCCTGTGTCGCCTTTGGGTGCCCAATTTGGAAAGGTGAAAGTCAAGGCGGTTGATGTTGCTGGCGTCAGTAATGGTGTTGTCATTGTCAGGTGTCAGAGGAGTAGAAAATGGGCCCAGCACATTGTTGATGCTCATTTTATTGACGAGCAGTGACATGTTGTTGCCGAGGGTTGTGTGGCCAGCAGTGAGGCTCTTGCTGGATAATGGCCCAATATTTAAGGTCAGCTGGGCATCGTATTACTGCTGTTCTTCTTGTTGTTGTTGTGCTCATTGTTACGCCCTGAACAGTTTTAAGAGAGAATGATGTGCCCAACAAGGCAGATTAATTTCATGGCTAAGTAAAAGCAGTTGCTGTAGGCGCAAATGGCCTGGCTAGGTGCAAATAGCTGCGCAGACAAGTTCTAAGAAGAGAAGAGAAAAGTGGAAAACAAGTTTTCTTGAGCAGAAGATGCTAAGGCAACCAACTTAGAAAATGGACAGGTACCAGGGGCAACGAGAAGCCAGCGAACGAAGCTGAAGTACCACAGCAACTCCTAAAGCTCTGAAGTAGACGAGAAAATAGTTTTTTATTGCCAAAACAATTCGAGTACTCGAACTTGGCACAGCTTAATTTATTGGGATTCTCTGTTGAACTAAACACTGAACACTCAACTTGTGGTATTTATCTGAACTGGCACGAAAACGAAATTTGTTCATGGCATGTCTCATTTAACATCACATTTGCAGCTCTTGAATGCATCTTTCTGAGCCTTCGGCTGGCTGTCTCCACCTCCTGCTTCGGCTTCGGCGCCTGTTTCGGGTTTCTTGGCTGCTGGCGTTGCATGGTCACACACCTGAGCCATCAGGCCGCAATCGTTGCGGGCGGCCTTTGGGAAGGGGCAGCTGTCGATGCCCTTCTTTGCAATCAGCTCGTCGAATTGCTGCTGACTCATGGGCGGCTTGGCAACGTATTTGTTTTTGGGACAGGCGTGTATTTTCCAATTGGGATGCGCGGGCAGGTAGTCGGTGGGTTCTTGCATGAACTGTGCGGCTAGCTGGATGCACACCTCGGGATCGTCGACGGCTTTCAGTAGTTTCTGCTCAAAGGCGCGCTCCTCCTCGGCCTGAATACGCTTCATCTCGATGATTTGGGCATTTAGATCCAGGCACCTCTGTCGCTGCTGGCATCGTATCATGGTCCTTGTGACGGGTGGATGGACGAATCGATTTTCGGGCATTTTATTCTCATGCACCTCAGCTTCCAGGCGCATTTTGCGCTCAATTTCCTCGCAGATCTGCTTCTTGAGATACGCGTGGCAGCGCGCGGCCTCCTCGCGCTTGGCGCGTGTGCGCTCCGCAACGTTGTTCTTGCAGCAATAGTCCACGTGGAAGAGGTCGTCAGTGCGATCGTTCATCATCTTCTCAATGCCCAGCTCGAGGTTGCGCATGCGTCGCACATATGCAATGTATTCGTGAGTGGCGCGCGCCAATTCGCGCTTCGTGCGACAGATGCGCTCCTTGGCCTCTGCCTCGAGGCGCTGCGTCTCGCGTATGAACTCCTCGTGCTCGGCCTTGTCGGCCTCCCATTGAGCGATCTTTTCGCATTTGCGGCGTCGAATTTCCTCAAGCAGCTCGTTGCGATACTTCTCCTTGCTTTTGTCCAATTCTCGGTGCTTGTAGTCGAATTCCTCCAGGCGCAGCTCCTCAATCAGCTTGTCCGCATTGATGGTGTCCTGGCGTTTCTCTGCGAGCTCCTTCTGCCGTTTTTCCTCATGCTCCTCCAGTTGTACCTCCAGCACCTTCGTTATCTGGCTTTTCAGCTGCTCACGCGTGCGTCTCTCATACTCTTCTACACGATCGTACTCCTCCCAGCGCCGTTTCTCGAGTTGCAGCCAATAGTTCTCCCTCTCGCATTCGCGGCGCTTCATGCGCAGATTCTCCTGCATCTGCTCCTCCAGGCAGATTCTGGTGTCCTCGCGATCCTTCTGGCGCAGTGCCTCGCGCAGCTCGTAGCAGTTCAGCATCACCTGCTGCATACGCTTCGCATCGCAGAACTCCTTGTGGCGTTTGTCCCGTGCCGCCTTGATCTCGTTCAGTCGCTCCTGACGGTTGCGTATCTCGTCGTCCAGGCGGTTCTTCACCTTGCTGGCAAACTCCTGCTCGTACTGCTTGTCCTCATTGTCGAGCATATTCTTCAAGCGCTGGCTGCGCTCCTGCAGCTCCTCCTGCGCCGTCTGTTGTGCCTTGGCCACTAGCAGACCAATTTGCGTGTGTAGACTCTTGCGGTCTGTGCGTTCCATAAACTGAAAGTGTTCTTCTCCTCTGCCATGATTCTGCATTTTGATGAAATTTTAATAAATAGAAATAAATCACTACGCAGGACAATCAGCTTGTCAATTTTTTGTCGTCTGTGTGCTACTCACATATGGAGTACATTCGGAGTTCACAGAGGCAACTAGACTTGGTTTGAAAACGAATTTACATTTGGGAAATGTTGACTGAAATTCATTTAGATATATGTAGATGTAGATTGGGATTGCATTCAGAAATTGTCTATGCAAATTTGTATTTTAAAGTATAGAAAAAAAAGCTGATGCAGCCTTTGCTATTGCATATATTTTCTAATGAATAAATATGCAAAGCCTCAACTTTAATAGGTTCTTTTCGACCTTTAATCAATCTACTCGTTCAACTTTATTAACTACTGAAGTCACCTGCCTATACTTAACCCCAACACAAGTCTATATAATTTTATTTGAGTAACCCCTCTATACTTAACCTGGCTCACCAACAGTTGTGAAGTCTTCTTCGTCTGGCATTGTCATGCTTAATGGCATAATTGCTTGGTTACAAAAGGTGCATAATTAATGAGCAGCGGCAGAGGCGACAAATTCAGTTGGCAGCTGCTGCCAGCGCAATTCGCTCAGGCATTTTATGGTTAAACATTAATTGCCAATGAGCTGGCGAAAAGTCAGCGCTAATACGATATTACTCATACGTCATGTTGCCGAGACCATTTAACGCAATTGCTGTGTGTGCGCCAAAGAAAAATTGAATTAAGTCGCTGTGCCTTTCAGTATTTGCCTTACCCCTCCCCGAGGGTAGGTGCATCAAATATTTATAACATTCACGGCTTCAGCGCAAACTGCTTTCGTTGTTTGTGTTTTGGTTTCTGTTGCTCTTCTCCATTCCATGCTTTTTTTTTTTTTTTATTTTCTCATTTTTGCTGTTGTGTGGCATGCGAGTTAGTTCCTCAGGCTGTTTTTCTTTACAAAAAGTATTTGGCACTTGCCGTAGCAGACGCAGCTTCTCCTGCTGCTGCTGCTGCTGTTGCTGCTGCTGCTGCTGATGTTTCAGCTGCCACCGTTACCCTTAACTCAATTAGCAATGCAACTGACACACTAATTAACTCAGATGCGAGATGAAAAGCTGCACAACTTTTAGCCAGATGCCACACCTCTGCTCTTGCCATAGTTACGAGCAGCAAACTTGCTGTTGCTCCTGTTGTTGTTGATGCGCCTGCTGCTGCTGCTGCTGCTGCGACTCAGTGTAGCTCCCCAGCCCTGCCCAAATATTGGCAAGCGTATGTTTGCCCAAGTGCAAAATTGTGCCATTACGCAACTGCAGAGCGCCGCTTTACTGTCAACATTCAGCTCACATTTTTGGATACATGCATTTTGCACATGCCGTAACTTATGTCAGCACATTTCGGGCTAAGCTCAAGTTTTGTAGCTGCGCCTTGATGCAAATTAAGTTACAAACTAAATGCATCCAACTGGGACAGGATTGATAAGGTATATTAACTAGTATACAATTCAATTTTAAAATGATGCAAGCTTTTTATTTAATTTAATTTCATTTATTAGTTAATTCATTTATTTTATAATTAATTAATTTGTATTGATATATTTTAGCTTTTTGCTGCTTTCTCATTCAATTTTCAACAAATAAAAATAGCATAAAAATTGTAAATATTTATTGTTATATTATTTAAAAATATTAAATATTTATATTTAAAAATATTAAATATTTATATTTAAAAATATTAAATATTTATAAATAAAATTCACATAGCTTACAATTCATAAACTTGAATAACCCTTAATATACACACATAAATATAAAAGAGATACTACACTTACCATTTCCATATTAATAATTCAATAAGCTAAATTGTTTTTCTGCTCTGTCCCGGGTTTAGTAATAAAAGATTTTGCACTGCGCAGCTCGAAGAGCATACATTTTTAATTACATTCGAAGCTTATGATAAAATCAATAAACTTTGGCTTTAGTGCTTTTAGATCTTTGACTTGAAACGAATGATTTATTAGAACTAGAATTTTATATTGTTTTTATTTAAGTGTGGTCTTTAATTGTGGAGAACTAAAATGCAATGAAAGTCCATTTGCATTCTTATTTATTTGTGCTGCAGCCAATAAACATGCACAAACACAGAAACACACTCTCAGAATCTTAATGTATTTTTATGTAAATACCATAACGCATACGCCGCGTGTGACATGTGCGCTGATTGCATTTTGCTCTCTATCTATATCTTTCTCTCTCTCTCTCTCTCTCTCTCTCTCTGTGCGTGTGCTGGTGTATGTAGATGTGCCCTTCGTCACTTACAATGTGCTACAATTTCAGCGCTGGCCAGGTGGCCATTCCAATTTATTTACCTGCCTGCCCATTCATTTTATGCTGCAATGCAAAAAAATAAAAACCAAATTTTTTTCCTGATTTTGGCAGGGAATTTAGTTCACTTGACCAAGCAAAGCCCCTTTTTTATGCGAACGCAAGCAATAGCCCAGCACGTCGGACTTATTGCGCGTTCCCTTCAAATTTGATGTGCGCGGCAGATTAGTATAACCGTTTCTACCGCGCGCTTTTAGGGTAAAGATTTTTCAATGGAATGTTTTTTGTTTCATTTCGCTTTCCCATTTTGTTTTCCATTTTATTTTCCATTTTTTTGCGCGAGCTGATTGTAAACAACATCACTTGGTTGACCAAATCCGCAGACTAAATAACAAACGTACAAAAGCACGAGGGAACAGGTCCAAAAACCGAAAAGGCATTTCCATGAAATGTTTGTGCATTTGGTTGGCCAACACACACTCACACACACACACGCACACGTTAGTGATGTTGATCCTAACTAACTCACACAGCTGCGGTAATTTAAATTTTAAGCAGCCCATGAATATTTAAATGCATAAAATGAAAAAGCACAAATGTAAATACATATGTGTGCACACACACACACACACATAATATAATACCAGTCGCTCTATCTCTCTCTCTCTCTCTCTATCTTTCAGAGTGTGTGCACAGTGCATGCTGTAAGCATATGCAAAGTGCAGACAGACAGTTGGCGCTAAGTATGCGCTCTCAGCTCTTCTACTATGTATGCTCACAGTCGCGATGGCCGCAGAATACGCCATTCCTTGGCCTTGGCAACATTGCGATGCAGGAATGTGTCTGTGTGTGCGTGTGTTAGCTGAGGTAAGTAACACAAGCAGCCACAAAGGATGTGCGGTGAGCTATGTGCGGCATATGCTGGCAGCCTTAAACAATGCAAATTCTCATCAAATTCCAAATTTCACATTTATCCTGCTTGAAAGATTGATTATAGTTTAGTTAAATCGGCAGGATTATAATTTTATTTAATTTCTAGTGAAAAAAAAAAAAAACAAATTACCAAACTATTTTAGTTAATTAGCCTGCTATAATTGCTTCCTTATATATATTTCTTGTTTTGTATAAATTATTCTGTATAAATCATAGTTATCCAGATTTACGAAAAAGCAGTTGATCAGATGAGACCACATAAGAGTATAAACTCCAAGTTTAGAGCAAATTGGTTTGAATTGCTGTGCATAGATACATGGATGGACGAAAAGACAGACACACCACAAAGCGGACATTGTACAAAACTCATTTCACTTTATGGGCGAGCACTAAAATTAAACCATTTATTGCCAGTCGACTACAAACTGTGGCTAATAGACTAATAAAACAAGGGCGAAGCCTTAAAGTTTAATCAAAGATAATTTCCATTGACGCTAATAATTGATGCGATAGTTTTTGATCGATGAGTAATGTAGACTGAGTTAATTACAGTGCACAATTTTAGTTTATATATCGGATAATCCCTTAAAAACCGTTAAAGAACACTTTTCGTTGCGCGGTTTACTTTGTGCTTAAGTGCTTGGCATAAATAGTTTGTCGTAAAATAGCAATAGTAAGTGGGAAAGCATGTAGGGTGTCAATTCGGCTTGGTTTCATTGTCGGTTTCATTGCTGTGTTGTGATAAGCGCCTTACGGTTACGGGAATGCCAGCTATAATATGTAAAAGTTAAATTTTAAATTAAATATTTATGCACACACTCGAAAGCGAAAGAGTTGAAGAAGAGAAAATTATAATTCATTTAATTCGCCGCAAATGTTGGCCATGAAGGCCTGCGCTGACAGATATGCTACACATTCGAGCAAGACGTGGCAAAGAGAGCTCAACTTGGGGAATACCCTAGAGTTTTGTTAAACACAAATTGTTTTAGCTGATGGCTTTTACTGCCTTTATGAGGTCATAAAATAGAATGAATTGAATTCAATGCTAACCTAATTATTTTGTGGCAATTAATAGCACATATCTCGTTGATAGACCCGAGCAGAGTGACTGTAAAGGGAAATTAGCAAATACTTTTGTTTAGTTAAGTGCTTATCACAAGCCATACTGGGCTGAAGCCTTCTCATTCATTAATTCAACTATGCACTAACTAGCTACTTTATGGGGCCTGGCTCTTATCAATGGGCGACACGCCGCATGCGAACTTCAAGTTAATTATGCAAGTGATTATTAAGTTGATTAAATGTGTGTGTGTGTGTGTGTTTCTAGTGGGTGACAGAACTTGCAACATCCTTTTCCACTTAAATATGTAAATAGTTGCCGGGCGAAGCAGTTGCTCCTCGTCGATATTGTAAGGGAAAAGTTTTCCGAGTCCGTGAAAATGCAATTAAAGTTGAAATTGCATCGCCTTCGCCATATTGTGTCGGAATCTACATAATGCATGAGAGAGAATCTATTGCGGAACAATATCAAACTCAAAGCTCGATTGATTGAGTTGCAAGATGTTGTCATGCTTGCCATTTTATACTTTGAATATGCTATGCAAATTCCTGAATACCGAAAGCCTGATGGGCGGAAGTGGCTGAATTTTAAGACTGCCGGAATTTGAATATTGATGGCCTGACAGCCGAATGTTATTGAAGTCAGTGATTCAAAGTCAGCCCCAAAGTCAAATTCAATGTCAAACCAATCAGCTCATAACTGTGGCAATCAACTCTGGCATATGGCTTCGCCGGTTTCGCAAGCACTTGGCCACCTTTTATGGGGCCAAGTCCATTAGCTGTCACTTAGCGTAAAACAAATCATAAATAAAATGTGCTCTTGGTCATGACAAGCAATCGGGCAGCAACTCGACCTAATTATGCTGTCATAAAAAGGAGCTCAACATGATTTTCCTAAGCCCAAATTGAGGAGTCTGAGCCCCGGCATTCATTGTTAATTGTTCAACAGCCGCGATTAATATCAGTGTCAGACTGACAGCAAAATCTTAAGAGATATATATATACATACACGTATCTCTCGGCGTCTATAGACTTGCTCTCGTTTATGGTCTATTTATGGGCAACGACGTTGCCTCATTATTCATAAAAATGCTTGACCAAATACGCACGAACATTCCCCAAGGAATTGCTATTCCAAACAGTTTCTCTATGTACGTGCGTGTGTGTGTGAGTGTGCGGGCGTGTATTCGTGAGTATAAATCAGCGATATATGGGTGTGGCCTCCGTTTACCCAACTAAACGGCCATAAGGGTGTCGCTGCCCAATTTCACAGCTGTGCGTGCTTCTCTCGGTTCACATCTGACAGAATCACGTAAAGAGGTTCGTTAAAGAAGTTATCAATATGTTATGCGAGTTGAGTTGAGAGACACGTTGATGTGCGTGTTTTCCATAAAGTTGTAATATATGCGTATTATTATATGTAAATTGTAGCTAAAAACAATATTTGTCAAAAAGCTAGTAATCAAAATTCTTCTTTTTTTTTCCCTTTGGCATACATTATGCAAATAAAAAAATATGCATTAAGTTACATTTGTTTATGCTGGAGAAATTTTCTTTGAAATGTAACAGAAATAAGTATAAATAAATATAGGTATATCTATACCGAGCGAAGTTTATATAGTTGGCTTGAAAAAGTATACATATAGGAATCTTTTATAGTGTAAGGCCAAGAATCAAACCATACTTATAATATATTTCTTTTTATTTCATAAAAGTCAATTTTAGTTTATTTATAGCACAAGACGAATCGCTAAGTCTCTGACCTGGTACGGCTGCCCTTATATGCATATGTATATCATCAATAAAAATACTATATATTCACTCTAAAGAATCAAACACTTTGAATGCTTCTTTTTGCCTGATTGTAGCTGCTTTGGCTACTGCCTGACTGATTTTATTAGCTGGCAATGGAATGTCTGCTGCTCCAGCCACTCATATTTTATGCACAGCTCATATATTATATATATATAAACATATACATATATATATGTATATGATGTCTCGATGTTGGACACTGCTATCGCTCGCCTGCTTGGCTAGCGAATTTACATTTTTTCCTGGCATTCCCTTTGGTTATTTTTATTGCCGTGAGCACATTTTGGGTTTATTTGTGCTACTTGGCACTAGCCGCTGCCACTCGCCGTTGATATTTTATTTTACAACTTTGTTTTCATACAATTTCTCAACTGCTGTCACACAATTTTCTGTGTTTGTTGGGGTCAATAACCTAGGTTAAGAACAGAGAGAGCAAGAATCAGAGGATGACGTCCTCAACTCATCTGCTATACCAACTAATGCCGCTTGGTTCTCAATATTTGCTTGATTTTGCTCAATAAAAATTGTATTTTACGAGTCGATTGGAGCTGCTGGCTAATTAATTAATTAAGTCGCAAATTGTGCATCTCTGCTTATATATTGTATATACAATATATATATAGATTGTTTGAGCTTTGGCATGTTTATCTTGATCTTTAATTTTAATTAGTGCCTTGGGGCAGCAGCTGGCTTTCCTGTTTTCAATTAATTAAGCATCTGATGCTACTCTGACAATGCAACGAGCCCTTGGCCTTGCCCACTGCTGCGGCTGCTGCTGCTGGTGCTGCAGTTGGTCACGAGCTTAGTCTTTGCCACCTAATTAAATTTCAAATGCAGCAGCGTAACAATATAATAGCCGTCTGTGTTTCACTACCCAACAGTCAACATTTGCGACCATGCACACACACACACAGACACACACACACAAGTGTTTAGTGGGCCACAGGATACAAAGCTGGGCATTAATCATAATAATGTCGCCACTAATTGCATTGCGTATACGCACACGTGTACTATGACTTGGCTACAAGCAGCGTCAGCTGCGCTGTCCCCGTTGTCCGCTTTCTGTCTTAATAATTAGACCATAATTCGGAGTTAGGTGGGCCGTCCATCGGAGACCCATTGCAACGGCTGTGCATGGCATGCGCATATTTAACATAATACGGGCAGCCTTGGCTGCCGTGTAGCCAGCCGAGATAATAACCGGGCTTAGTATCCTGCAATCACGGTCAGTAAATGCGGAAGGTGGGCATTTCTCTCTCTATATATATATTATTACATGAAAATGCTTTAAGAACGAAACGCTTGATAGTTTATGAAATTTATTTTATAATAAAAAAGTTTCTGCAACTATCTCTTCAATTTAAATTCAATTTAAATTTATTGAAGATAAATATTGTTTTTATGATCATTTTATTTCTCTTATGTAAGCTTTTAATTTGCTGAGCTAAAGCTGCCAGCTTTCATTAAATAATGATTCAGTTATTATCATGATCCGAGTATAATATTTTTTCAGCATTTCAACTGCTTTCAAAAAGCCAGTTAAACCTGTACAAACTTTTAATAAATACACTCAAAATCTTTTGCACACAATTTTTACTTGCAATTTCCATTTCAATTCCAATTTTCATTGGGCAGACTTTTCACGATTGTAAATGTGGACGGGTGTTAAGAAATGAATTCAAATTCATGCAAATTAAATGCTGACATTGCGATGCTGCGAATCATTAAAACTATCGGGCTTTTAATCGGGAAATAAACGTTTACTTACCGCCCACATAGATGTCAACGTGCATCCAATTCAACTTGCTGGCAATGCTCCGCACAGCCAAGGAAATGGCCTCAAATGATGGCAGAAAATTGCTCGAGATCTGTAAGGAAAGATATGAAATTGTTAAAAAAAAGAAAGAAATAAACGCTTTTGCATTACCTAGCCTAGAAAAGAAATATATATGTATATATATACTCTTTGTCAGTAACAAGTTTTCTCATTCTCCTCTATCAATCTGCTTATCTTACACTAGAATTAATTTCTCTTTAGCTTTTGCCTGGTTTAGTGACAATGAAATGAGCCAATTGGCTAACGTTTAATAGCTGGACAGAAAGTATGCTTATTTAATTGAAAAATGAAAAACCAAACTCAAATTTAAGATTTATTGATTAAACATTTAGCCCGCTGCCATATGGTAAAAATAAATATTATTTCTATATTCTTAGCCAACTTAATTGGTTAACCTTAAACCGCTGCCATTAGGTATAAATAAATATTATTTCTATATTATTAGCCAACTTAATCAGCTAACCTTTGCCTGCTTTAAGTGATGTTTGATCAGAGTTATTTACGAGCCTTGTCAGACAGACAAATTGTTCACATTACTATAGACAATTCAATCAGGTTTAATCAAACCATTAAACCGAATGTGTATTTATGAATGCGTGTGTGTGTGTGTGCGTGTGTTTGTATACTTGAAGCATACAAGAGACACAACAAAGTTCAATCAATAATGAACCCTCACACCCGAAAATATCATCGCAGTCAGGCATAAAAAGGTCCCCGTCTATTGCCATTGAATGGAAGGGAACAAAATATTCGATTTTGTATTGGCCGTGATGAGGGCTGAGGGTAGTAGCAGTTGGCCAAGGGCCTGCACGTAGCTTAAAGTTGTTTGGTACCTTTTTGACCTTTTTTGTGAGTTGTTGTTGTATTTTGTATTTTTGGCTGTTTCTCACATTTTGCTTGGAGTTGGATTTGAGTTTGCGCCCTGGACAACTGGCCGAGCTGCCTGTGCTGGTTGGCTTGGCTACTCGACTGGCTAAATGGTCCCCTATGTTGGCTTCTCCACGTTCTCCTTATTTCTTTTTTTTTTTTTTTTTTTTGGCTGTTTGCCGATGAAATAAATTGAAAAACGTTGAATTGTGAAACACAAAATTTTCTACAAAATTGAATTTTAAACTCGGCACAGGGAACAACGGAAGCAATCAACTGAGCCAGCAATGGGGACTGGCTGATCTGATTAGGCAATGATTTGCCATTTTATTTTTCGCATTTTTTTTCACATTTTTTCACATTTTTTGTTTATTTTTATTATTATATTTTGGCACATAAACATAAAGCACAACAATGAATACGATTACTCTTCCTTACTGTACAACTGTGCGTATACTTGACTGAATTGAGCAACAATTTTATATCATGTGGGTTATATAGATAACTAGCATAGGTATTATACTAAATTTTAAATATTATTTCGGTTCACTAGTTTGTAAAATATCACTGCCCAATGCGGAAAAATATTGCAATTATATTTTTTTAAATATTTATAAATATTTCGCTTGGCTTTTTTATGCAACTTTTTCATCGTTTAAGTTTCGACTTGTAGTTGAAAAGAAAAGTACAATTGGCAACTTGAACTGCTTCAGCTTAAAAGTGTCTTATAACTTTGGTTATTATAACTTTTAATTTATTTGCTTATTTTTCTGTTTTGTATATCTTATTGCTTAAGCTAAAGTTGTATAAGTTTAATTAGCAATTCCTGAAACTGAGCTGCGGGGCCAGCATAAGTTTTAAGTAAATTTTAAGGCAAATTTCATATCGAATTTTGCTGTTGTACTTTTTTTATAGCTTGATACGTGCAATAAATAAATAGAATTTGAGCACTCGCAGCTCACCCTAGCTATCATCAATATGCAGCACAGCTTGAATGGCTTGTGCGAGAGCTCAATAAAAAAATGGTCTGCAAATTGTGGCAACAGCTGCAAGGCTTGGCATCAAAGTGCATTTCGGATGTCTATTGACACAACGTGACCAGGCATGGCAACTTGGCTATTTACTTGCTCAGTGTGAGCACTTTGCTGGCAGCTAAGTGCACTTGAGCCGTTGGGGCATCTAGGGGATGTACTTTGGCCTTATTGTTTGCAGCTCGTGTCCGGCTGGCACCTTGTTTTATTGCTGGATAAATTGTTAAGCATTCGATCAATTTAATTAATTGCCACACAAAAGAACAAGCCAAATCAAATTCATGCTAAGCAATCAAATTTTTTTTTTCCTTTTGCAGATATTTTTCTTTTTTTTTTTGTGTACAGAAAATGAATTTCCGCAGTCGTTGCTTTTCTTCCTGGCTGTTACAGGTGAATGGGCCCATTAGGCGGTGCTAAGCGGCCAAAATCCCATGCAAAGGACCAGCACTGAGCGCAGAATCAACATTAATCACAGCTCAGCAAATATTTGACATTTGTATGCTTCCCAAGATTGTTGGCCCTCGCCTTAGCCTGGTTTTCACTTGCCCTTGCCCTTGTCCTTGTCCTGCTGCCAGCCTTGGCTCATCCCTATTCTTAAGCAACATTTTGTTCATGTCCTCCATTTGGGGCGTGTCCTCACTGCACAGCCAAGCAATGCTCATAATTTAGTTAGGGACCTTAACATATTTGCACGAATGTGATTGAATCCCTTGAGCCAAACATTCTAAACTTTGCAAACATATCTTCTTTAACTGCTTCAAACATCTCCCTTAGCATTCACTGAATTCGATTTGCAAGCACAATCAACTTAATTTTGGCATTATTGATTTAATTACGAAGCTATAAATTGAATTCCGCTTGTGGTTCATTATTCAATTAATATATCTGCTATAAATATTTAATTGTCAAAGCAGTCGATTAAGTTAATTAACAGATAAACATGACTAATCAAATTAAGTTGGCTTAAAGTATCAACAAATAATATTTTAATACGTTTTACTATCACAATTTACTTGAGCTTAATACAAACTGACATGGGAGAACATGTTAAGCGTCTGCTAGACAGTTGAATACAAAAAGAATATTTGTGAATTATCGAGTTTGCGAATAAGCCTGTTTAATGGCTAAAATTTTAAATGCATTAAATATATTGAGCTAAAGTTAAATCATTGAATTCAATGCGAAAATAAATGGTCGTGGCAATTGTTTTTATTAATGTTTTACACTTTTTTTCAACATTTCATAAATAATATTTCATCTATAATCAAATATATACAATGTAAATAATTGAATATAGATGAATCCCATACAAAAAATTGATAAAATATGCATACAATTTTTTTGCTTATGAATTTTAAAGCAGAGTTTGCCTTTAAATATTATTTTAAGTATCATTTTAAATTCTTAGTTATTAACACTAAAAAAAGTGTATGTGCCTTGAATGGCATTGTTTGATTAAGAGCTGACGCACTTAACTTTGATATTGAAATGCTTTATATCTCTGGTATTTTCTGGCAGGTTCAATAACAAGCAGCTGTCGCTTTCAGATAAAAATTAATGCGCGCACTCTTTTTATGCAGTCATCATTATCAATATAGGACAATAAAAGGCAAAACTTGTGCCCGACACTTAATTTGCTGTCATTTAACTGAAAATAAATGGCCAAAACATGTGTCTGCAGCAGCAGCAGCAGCAGGAGCAGCAGCAGCCACTGCCTCACATTAAACAATAGAATGAGGGAGAGAGAGAGAGAGAGAGAGAGAGAGAGAGAGAGAGAGAGAGAGAGAGAG